TCTCTAGGAGCACCGTTCGCACGGGTATGCGTTATGGTACTTGGACGTTAGCCAAATCGAGAAAGGCGCCACAATCACCTGTGCAGATGTTCGTCCCTAGAGCAGACAGAAACTTATGATTATGGATTCGAATCACTGTTCTCCCGGTTATGTTACCTCTCTCTCTCTCTCTCTCTCTCTCTCTCTCTCTCTCTCTCTCTCTCTCTCTCTCTCTCTCTCTCTCTCTCTCTCTCTCTCTCTCTCTCTCTCTCTCTCATCAACGTTTCCACCTTCACTGGGGCTCCTTGTCAAATTAAATCGAGTTACAGTCAAACACCGTTGTGACTTTCGTACACACTTCGAGTAATCCGATGTTCGACATAATCGCAAAACTGATTATTAATAAGTAATACGCAGGGACCAAGTTTATACTTAGAGACACAAAGGTGCTTGCTTTTGTTTAAATTACACATTTCAGAAGGGCTAAGCTTTATAGTCTACGTGCGTGCGTGCGTGCGTGCGTGTGTACGTGATTTCCGCAATTCAAGAGCAGTTGGTACTACATAGCATAAACAGTGGGTGTTTGTGTTGAAAACACTATAGGAAGTCGTTTATTTTTGTTGCATGTTGCTTCATTTCTCTATTTCAAACCCCCAACATCAGTCATGCCATCGTTCACTCAATTCTCTGAACAATTCTCAGCTCCTCACAGGGAACCTTGCTACTTACTCTCTCACGAAAATCAGGAGACAACAACTATATGAATGTTTACTTTCGTTTATTATGAAATAAAGCTTAACACACTTTTAATCATATCTGTTTCGCACAAATTACAAGCGAGATTTATCCCCCACCTGTATACCCAGAACATCAAACGTTGACTAGTAGAAATAGTAATTATAGAAAGCAAATTTACGGGTTTGTTATATCAGCGCGGTCATCACGATGCAAGGGAGGTAAGTCTTGCTACTCGCGATGAAGCAATAAAATCACACTTGAAGGGTTACTTTAAGTTCCAGAAAGATCACAAAGAATACGGGAAAGCACTTCAGTGTTTTAAGCAATAACAGCAGCACGGTGGTATTAAAGCACATACCCTTACTAGTCACTGCAATCTCGCAGTGGGAACACAACTAATGCATAGGCCTACTAATGCCTTTACTCCGCCCACTTTCTTTAGGAACAGTTCCCGTACATACACACACTTCCGTTGTATCTGCCCACCTCACTGCATATGCCTTGCCTTTACATATGCCCATCCCAGAGCATACGCCCTTCCCGTTACATGTCCACTCCACAATTCATATCCTTCTCAATGCAAGGACAGGCCCTCGTGTTTTTGCGAGGATTAAGGATTTTTTAAAAAATGTTTAAAAAATTGAGATGACCCCCCCCCGACTCGGAATGCTTCCCAGTACAATACATCATGATTTATTGTACTATGAAGAATTTCGAGTCGGGGGGTCATCTCAATTTTTAAAAATCTTCAATCCTCGCAAAGAGACGAGGGCCTGTGAATGCAATCCCCATCTTTAGAGGTATGCCTCTTTCTCGTTGCACACAGAGAGCGTCTTCGTAGATTCCCACCACCGCTAACACCCCCCCCCCTCCCACACACACACACAAATGCATACCTCCTTGCCAACACCACACAACACACACACACATACCTTTTCCACACAGACACACCGGTACACACGGTGGGGTAGCCGAGTGGTGAAAGTGTTCGCTCGTCACGCCGAAGAACCGGGTTCGATTTCGTACATGGGCACATTTTGTGAAGACCATTTCTCCTGTCCTCCGCCATGCTATTGCTGAACTATTGACTAGCGATCACCTTCACCACTAACCTACCCTACCGCCCAATCTCCTTAAGGAAACCACACGGTGGACGTGAGCTAGGACGATGCCGCTAAAGAGCGTACAGTAGGTATGACGAACGTGTTGGTTGCAGAGCGGCCATCTTCCTAGATATGCACGGTCTGACTTTCATTATATACAAACCCTCCAACTACCACAGCTCTGTATACTAACCCTCGACCTGTGTACCCGGCACCCAGGCATTCCAGTCTCGGGAGGGACAAGACTTTGCGAGAACCTCCACATGCAAACATGTCTGTGTGTTTCTAACACACCGACACACACTTGCTTATACTGATGCCTGCTGTTTCTCCCCCGTAATTTGTTTACCCTATGTTAAAGAGGGAAGGCTTTTCAATATGGTATTTTCTTCCTGATCAATCATGGTGTTTGTCAAAGGAAAACAAATGTGTCGGATGCTTTATCATGTCCTCACATTCGTGTCCTGCGTGTTTACGCTTATTATGACACGTCAGCATGTGAGTGCCTATTCTGTCCCGGTTTCCGCGTGGCAGGCACTCGTGGGCTGTAAGGTACGTGCTCTGCCCCTGTTTCTGCGTGGCAGGCACTCGTGGGCTGTAAGGTACGTATTCTGCCCCTGTTTCTGCGTGGCAGGCACTCGTGGGCTGTAAGGTACGTATTCTTCCTTTGTTTCTGCGTGGCAGGCACTCGTGGGCTGTAAGGTACGTACTCTGCCCCTGTTTCTGAGTGGCAGGCACTCTTGGGCTGTAAGGTACGTATTCTGCCCCTGTTTCTGCGTGGCAGGCACTCGTGGGCTGTAAGGTACGTATTCTTCCTCTGTTTCTGCGTGGCAGGCACTCGTGGGCTGTAAGGTACGTATTCTTCCTCTGTTTCTGCGTTTGCAGGCACTCGTGAGCTGTAAAGTACGTATTCTGCCCCGGTTTCCGCGTGGCAGGCACTCGTGGGCTGTAAGGTACGTATTCTGCCCCGAAATCGGCGTGACAGACGCTCGTGTGCAGCTAGATACGTATTCTACCCATGAATCCACATGGCAGACAATCGGGGCAGCTTTGTACGTATTAGGCACAGGTATTCCCATGCCGACAGTCCTGAACTAAAGTGGAAGACATTGACTGGCTACCAGGTGCGTATTCTGCCCGGGAATCTACATGGGAAAGAGGTACGGGTTTACAGATACGTAATCTTCCCGTAATTCTAATGGTAGACACTGACTGGCTTTCAGGGGCGTATTCTGCCCATATATCTACATGGGTGAGAGCTACGGGCTTCTATATACGTATTCTTCCCGGGATTCTAATGGTATACACTCGCTGGCTTCCAGGGGCGTATTCTGCCCATATGTCTACATGGGTGAGAGCTACGGGCTGATAGATACGTATTCTTCCCTGGGATTCTAATGGTATACACTCGCTGGCTTCCAGGGGCGTATTCTGCCCGGGAATCTACATAACACACACACGTGCGGGCTACAACCAACGCATTCTGTAACTGACACTCAAACGAAACAAAAAGGACCATAAAGTTTGGTAAATACAAATTTACTTTACACTGGGTAATATATACATTGTTTAGATATTAATAAAGACTTATAAAGATGTACCAAGCCAGAAACATTCGTTTTTTAAACGTTTCTTCCAGGAAAATCAAACAGGCCTAAACTCGGGCCTGGAATCGGCCAGTTTGCTGTCAAATCTTGATTGAATCAGGCCATGGCTACTGTACTTCCACAATAAGGAATCTCTACTTCACATGAATAACAACGTAATTTTTCGAATCTGTGAGTTGGGGTGTAACAGCTATGTTCTAGCGAGCAACACAGACAGACATTTGACAGAAAACGGACGCACTGACATACGACTACACATCAGTGTATGGAGAGAGACGGATGGGGAGAGAAGGATGGGGAGAAAGGGTGTGGTGGAGAGAGAAGGATGGTGAGAGAAGGACGGGGAGAAAGGGTGTGGTGGAGAGAGGATGGAGAGAGAGAAGGATCGTGAGAGAAGGATGGGGAGAGAGAAGGATGGGGTGAAAGAGAGAGAGAGAAGGATGGAGAGAGAAGGATGGGGAGAGAGAGAGAGGTGGAGAGAAGGATGGAGAGAGAGAAGAGAAGGGAAAGAGAGAAGGATGGAAAGAGGGAAGGATGGAGAGAGAAGGATAGGGAGAGAAGAGAGAGAGAAGGGTGGAGAGAGAATGATGGAAAGAGGGAAGGATGGAGAGAGAAGGATGGGGAGAGAAGAGAGAGAGAAGGGTGGAGAGAGAATGATGGAAAGAGGGAAGGATGGAAGAGAAGGATGGGGAGAGAAGAGAGAGAGAAGGGTGGAGAGATAATGATGAAGAGAGAAGGGTGGAGAGAGAGAGCAGGATGGAGAGAGAAGAGAGAGAGAAGGATGGAGAGGAGAAGAGAGAGAAGGATGGAGAGGGAGAAGAGAGGATGGAGAGAGAGAGAGAGAGAGAAGGATGGAGAGGAGAGAGAGAGAGAAGGATGGAGAGAGAAGAGAGAGAAGGATGGAGAGGGAGAAGAGAGAGAAGGATGGAGAGGGAGAAGAGAGAGAAGGATGGAGAGAGAGAAGGCTGGAGAGAGAATGATGGAGAGAGAAGGGTGGAGAGAGAATGATGGAGAGAAGAGAGAGAGAACGATGAGAGAGAAGGGTGGAGAGAGAATGATGGAGAGAGAATGATGGAGAGAGAGAAGGGTGGAGACAGAATGATGGAGAGAGAAGGGTGGAGAGAGAATGATGGAGAGAGAGGAGAGAGAAGGAGGAGGAGAGAAGGGTGGAGAGAGAATGATGGAGAGAGAGAAGGGTGGAGAGAAAAATGATGGAGAGAGAAGGGTGGAGAGAGAAGGATGGAGAGAGAAGGGTTTAGAGAGAATGATTGAGAGAGAGAAGAGAGAGAGAGAATGATGAGAGAGAGAAGGGTGGAGAGAGAATGATGGAGAGAGAAGGGTGAGAGAGAGAAGGATGGAGAGAAGGGAGGGGAGAGAAGGATGGAGAGAGAGAAGGATGGAGAGAGAGAAGAGAGAGAAAGATGGAGAGGGAGAAGAGAGAGAAAGATGGAGAGGGAGAAGAGAGAAGGATGGAGCGGGAGAAGAGAGAAAAGGATGGAGAGAGAGAAGGGTGGAGAGGGAGAAGGATGGAGAGATAAGAGAGAAAGAAGGATGGAGAGAGAGAAGGGTGGAGATGGAGAGATAAGAGAGAGAAGGATGGAGAGAGAGAAGGATGGAGAGAGATTGAGGGAGATATAGAGAGGGAGAAGGAGAGATGGAGGGAGCGATGGAGAGAGAGAGTGAGGGAGCGTATATGCTATATTTACAACTATTGTACTACAATTTCCTATCGCAAAAATTGCTCAAACACTGAGCATTATGTAGATATGCTGTATCTCCAATTCACCACCAGTCTGTTTTTCCTGTGACATTCACTGCTAAAGTCAGGCATTAGTTTCCAAGACCCTACAAATCCAGGGTTTTGGCATGGTTTGTACAGTTGTCACCGTGGTAAGTCGGTATAAACTGAGACGGCTTAGCCCTCAAGTCACAGTTTTGAACGGGGCCCAGAATTCGCGAAGTCACCTGAGGTCCCTGGTCGAGATTACACACATTCGGTTCAACATTCGTTGAGAATGTGGTGTGGTTTGTTTCATGGTATTGTTTCTTTTCCATTAGAGCTTTGAAAGCTTCTTCACCACCATCACTGCGCCATTTTATATGGAGACAATCAACATTCATCACTTTTCATCTGCCGATTCAAATATTTTCGCCATGTCTCTAACCTTCATGATTTCCCTCTTACTTATTCACATATACAGGTTCTTTCTCAGAAGCTTGTGAGCACCCACGCGGGTGGTAGCTGTTATCGGAAAACGTCATATTATCGTAGGGTTCGACGTCGGGGCTGCTGACGGCGATTACGTAGTTACTGTTGGTCGAAGCACGGGATATCCTTGTATGCTCTGAGGTGATGGGGGGGAAGGGGTCCTGTACGGGCAAAGGGGGGAGGTGGCAAGCGGGAAACTGGTACTGCTGGCGAGCTGGGCCCAGGATAACTTTTCGTAACTGTAACGGGCAACTTTACATCTCCAGATGAGGAGGTTTCGACGGCTTGCATTACATCTGGACATGTGTTCGAATGGGTCCTGAAATATAGTTGAATATGTATTAACGGTCATAACTGCTGTCTCCGCTGCAATTGGTCAATCAATGCAGACAATTCAAACTGACGGTTCAAAATACAAATATGAGTGAGTGAGTATGTCTTAACACCGCTTTTAGCAATATTCCAGCAATATCACGGCGCGGACACCAGAAATGGGCTTCGCACATTGTACCCATATGGGGAATCGAACCCGCGTCTTCAGCGTGACGAGCGGACGGTTTAAACACTCGGATACCCCACCGCCCCTACAGAGACGATACCTGTCTCATACACATGAACATCGAAATACCATTTCTTGTTTGCGTCACATCTGTCTACCACCGACCATGGTAGCATACTTTCTTTTGCCCGGTACTGTAGCTCTATAGCGCCTTATGGTTATGCCCCTTTGTCAATGCAGGAAACAATGCAGTTTAATGTTTAGTCGAGCTATGAAAGACTGTTATGAAAGTAACATTATGGACTGACCTGTAGTGAGGCTGTGAAGGTTCTGCTTCCTGGTTGGTTGGACAGATCGAGGCAGTGTCAAGGTCAGTTTCCGGGTCTACTTGTGCGAAGCGGGCCTGATCCGAAAGTTTTTTCTGAATATGATGCATTGTCAGCAGTGCGTGTTTCCGTCTTCTGAAACATGAAGTGAGTTAGTGAGTGACGTTTTACCCCGCTTCTAGCAATATTCCAGTAATATCACAACAGGGAACCCAAGAAATGACTTTTCCATATTTTACACATGTGAATCAAACCCTATGAGCAAACCCTAGTACCTTCTGCACTATGGGTGAGTAAGTGAGTATGCTTTTACGCCGCTTTTAGTAATATTTCAGCGATATCATGGCGGGGGACACCAGAAATGTGCTTCACATATTGTACCCGTGTGGAGAATCGAACCTGGGTGGTCGGCGGGACGAGCGAACGCTTTAACCACTAGGCTATCCAAACACCTTCCGCACAATGGAACGTGGGATGAAATTACGCTGGGTCAACATTCCTAGCCTGCCAGTGAGTCCTGCAGTGTTTACAGCCAACATATGTTTAAAAAAGGATCGCCAGTCAATGAAGTATTCCCCCAAAGTTTGGCTCCATTCCCCTCTTTTTAATCATTGCCAGTCGATACATTCAGTTCAGTGAAGAAGAAAATAATGCTGATAAGCATTTTTCAATATCTCAATTGTCAAAAGGCACCACTTCACCAACAGACAGATCTATAAAACCTCTTCCACTGCGAAATATGCAATTGTGGAGTTCTGTTCAGTAAACGCAAACGGGGGCGGACATACAGACAGACAGACAGACATGCTGATTCTACTATATTTTACAATCAAGGGAGATAACAAGGTACAAGCTACACGTGCCTGTTACAGCAGGTTTGTAGTCAGCAACGTCACATCTACACGTGCCTGTTACAGCAGGTTTGTATTCAGCAACGTCACATCTACACGTGCCTGTTACAGCAGCTAGTAGTCAGCAACGTCACAGCTACACGTGCCTGTTACAGCAGGTTTGTAGTCAGCAACGTCACAGCTACACGTGCCTGTTACAGCAGGTTTGTATTCAGCAACGTCACATCTACACGTGCCTGTTACAGAAGCTAGTAGTCAGCAACGTCACAGCTACACGTGCCTGTTACAGCAGGTTTGTAGTCAGCAACGTCACAGCTACACGTGCCTGTTACAGCAGCTAGTAGTCAGCAACGTCACAGCTACACGTGCCTGTTACAGCAGGTTTGTAGTCAGCACTGTCACAGCTACACGTGCCTGTTACAGCAGCTAGTATTCAGCAACGTCACAGCTACACGACCCTGTTACAGCAGGTTTGTAGTCAGCAACGTTACAGCTACACGTGCCTGTTACAGCAGGTTTGTAGTCAGCACTGTCACAGCTACACGTGCCTGTTACAGCAGCTAGCAGTCAGCAACGTCACAGCTACACGTGCCTGTTACAGCAGGTTTGTAGTCAGCACTGTCACAGTTACACGTGCCTGTTACAGCAGGTTTGTAGTCAGCAACGTCACAGCTACACGTGCCTGTTACAGCAGCTAGTAGTCACATGTCACATGCTTGTTTACAGCCACTGCAGTTCACAATATTGCAGCCATTTAGCTGTGGCACAGTATTTCATATGAGCTTGCGGTATTCATAGGTAATAATAGCAATAACTCACTTGTTCTTCCCACAAGCACGGACGATCAGGAAAATGACAACGAGGATCAAAATTAGTGCACAACAACCGACAGAGCCACCTGAAACAGCAATAATGCTCATAGGCCTGAAAACATGTGGTCGAGCCAATCAACAAAACATGGTGAAAAGCCTCTGACGTAATTCTTCTGTCCACCCATCCGACACAACAACACTTGAGGTCGGACGTAGAAAGAATGAGGCCGAAGCAGTTGAAACAAGTGGTTCCAAAGGAAATTGAAAACAAGCATGCCGGGACAATTGCTATTTGCCGAGCCCCCTGAACCCAAAATATTACCAGCCCACTTGAACCAAAAAGTTTGCTCAGTCATTTGAATGACTAACTCGCTCAACCCTCTGAAACAAGAATATTCAACAAGACACCAAAACAAAAATGAATACAGCTGAGTCACCTGAAGGATTATGTTGTGAGTCATCTAAAACAACAATGTTACAGATACACCTGAAACAACATGTTGCCGAGCCACCTGAAAGATTATGTTGTAAGCCATCTAAAATAAACAATACTCCTGCAAGAACAACAGTGCCAAGCTGCCAGCTTGGTAGCGGCGCTACACGAAAGGACATTATCGCCAACTGACCTGAAAGAAATAAAACTGATGAGTCACATGAACAACAGTAACGAAGGACCACTGAACACCTGAACAACAGTAACGCAGGACCACTGAACACCTGAACAACAGTAACGAAGGACCACTGAACACCTGAACAACAGTAACGCAGGACCACTGAACACCTGAACAACAGTAACGCAGGACCACTGAACACCTGAACAACAGTAACGAACAGGACGCAGGACCACTGAACACCTGAACAACAGTAACGCAGGACCACTGAACACCTGAACAACAGTAACGAAGGACCACTGAACACCTGAACAACAGTAACGCAGGACCACTGAACACCTGAACAACAGTAACGCAGGACCACTGAACACCTGAACAACAGTAACGCAGAACCACTGAACACCTGAACAACAGTAACGCAGAACCACTGAACACCTGAACAACAGTAACGCAGGACCACTGAACACCTGAACAACAGTAACGAAGGACCACTGAACACCTGAACAACAGTAACGCAGAACCACTGAACACCTGAACAACAGTAACGCAGAACCACTGAACACCTGAACAACAGTAACGCAGGACCACTGAACACCTGAACAACAGTAACGCAGGACCACTGAACACCTGAACAACAGTAACGCAGAACCACTGAACACCTGAACAACAGTGAAACGCAGAACCACTGAACACCTGAACAACAGTAACGCAGAACCACTGAACACCTGAACAACAGTAACGCAGAACCACTGAACACCTGAACAACAGTAACGCAGAACCACTGAACACCTGAACAACAGTAACGCAGAACCACTGAACACCTGAACAACAGTAACGCAGAACCACTGAACACCTGAACAACAGTAACGCAGAACCACTGAACACCTGAACAACAGTAACGCAGAACCACTGAACACCTGAACAACAGTAACGCAGAACCACTGAACACCTGAACAACAGTAACGCAGGACCACTGAACACCTGAACAACAGTAACGCAGGACCACTGAACACCTGAACAACAGTAACGCAGAACCACTGAACACCTGAACAGTAACGCAGGACCACTGAACACCTGAACAACAGTAACGCAGAACCACTGAACACCTGAACAGTAACGCAGGACCACTGAACACCTGAACAACAGTAACGCAGAACCACTGAACACCTGAACAACAGTAACGCAGGACCACTGAACACCTGAACAACAGTAACGCAGAACCACTGAACACCTGAACAACAGTAACGCAGGACCACTGAACACCTGAACAACAGTAACGCAGAACCACTGAACAACTGAACAACTTTCGGAAAAGGGACGAAACTCTTGACTTGTTATGGACCGGGTAGAGTTTGGGTCGCTTTTTCTGAAAGGTTAGGGAAAATGTCGACTGGAAATGACATGGAATTTGGTATAAATACTAGGGGTGACTATTGAGGGGGAAACAACTATTGCGATAGCGATAGTCTATTGCAACATACTATTTCGACCAACTATTGCAATACTATTGCAATAGTGTGTTTTTTCTCCTTGAATTGTCTCATTTGAAGTCATTTCCCATATGAATGTATAATTTACATTGAACAAAAACGAGCTTAAGTAGTTTCAGTCTCTTTTGATAACTGAAAAGAAACTGGAAATCCAGATCAGGTTTGTTTAAGAGGTAACAGGGGCGGGAAAGCCTAAATCAAATTGAACGAATCAGGTACTTCCTGTATTTTGCGCTGCGCATTTATCAACGGAAGTTACTTACTAAACTATCGATAGTCACATAAAACATCAGTACATCGGTAGTTTTTAGTTTCTGCCATCGATTAATTGCTATTGGACACTCACCAATTGCAATCCATCGATAGTTCGATGCATCGTTACAGCCCTAATAGATAATAGGAGCTTACCTATCACATACTCTTTGAACATCATGTGACCTCCTGAAAATACAAAATACAAAGCACTCTAAGGTGTGAACACGAAGGCTTTACGCTATGTGTTTCTGTTTATTTATTGTTTAACGCCGTATTCAGAATTTGCTCGCTATATGACGGCGGTCCCTCAATTATCGTACCTGGGCCACACAATTCAGTTATTCAGTGAGTGAGTTGAGTTTTACGCTGCACTCAGCAATATTCCAGTTATATGGCGGCGGTCTGTACATAATCGAGTCTGGACCAGACAGTCCAGTGATCAACAGCATGAGCATCGATCAACGCAATTGGTATACGATGATATTAAACAGGTGAGCGAGCCTGACCAGCCGATCCCGTTAGTAGATCGGGATAGAACTTATGATATTTTACGTCATGTATCGATCACAATACACACGACGCCGTTGAAGTTTAAGCAACAATTAAACCAAATCCTGTTTGCAAAAATACAGCATAACAATGTGAAATAGCATTTCAGATGATCTGTACTCATAAATAATAATAAAAATAAATAAATAAATAATGAATAAATAAATAAATAAAGATTTTAAAAAACCAAAAACATGTACAAAGTAAGTGACCCCCCTACAAAATGGGTGATCCTCCCTTGAAATCATCATGACCCCAACCGAGTCATAAATTATGATCAGTCCCTGAGTAAACACCTTCTCCGCACACCAAGAGAAAGTCTTATATAAATGTTATATAGTTCTATAATGTTAGGCGTTTTATCAGTAGATTTCTATGGTTCGTTGCTCAGGACTAACGGCGATACAATGAAGTATTAAGCATTACAGCATCGCCATTGATCTTACCATTTTCGCACTTGTGTCCAAAATAGCCAGCTCGGCACCCTCGTGTACAGTTCCCCCCGGCATCACAATCATTGTCCTTGCAGTTCCGACACAGGTGGTCACAATTAGGCCCAGCGGTTCCAAGGGGACACTCTGAGAACATACAGAATATAGGATACCTGATGGTTTCATTGGTGGGATTGTATCAGTGAGTTTTATAACAATAACTATTACTATGCAAATTATATCATTGAATTAAATTCAGACTATTACACAATCTTTAGGGACAACCACCGTTGTATGGATTTAAAGCCAGTCTCTCTCTCTCTCCCCCCTCTCTCTCTCTCTCTCTCTCTCTCTCTCTGCGGTATGTAAATAAACGAGTCTGGATCAGACAATCCCGTGCTGTTTGTACCTACTTGTTTTGCAGTTGCTACCTATAAACCCATCAAGACATCGGCCAGGACATGTTCCGCTAACAGGGTCGCAGGATATGTTTGGATTCGAGCAATTGCCACAGGGTATCTTACAGTTTGGTCCGTAGTAGCCCTTACGGCAAACCTCTGGCAAAGAGAAGGACATCAATGCAAACACATTACTTCCAGTATGTATGTATGTATGTATGTATGTATGTATGTATGTATGTATGTGTGTGTGTGTGTGTGTGTGTGTGTGTGTGTGTGTGTGTGTGTGTGTGTGTGTGTGTGTGTGTGTGTGTGTGTGTGTGTGTGTGTGTGTCTCTGTGTGTGTGTAGGTACGTATGTATGTGTGTATGTGTATGTACGTGCGTATGTATGTATGTAATTTTGTCTGTAAAGGTAGAAATTCTCTCATTCGCCTTCTTCAAAATGAAAATAGCAGTTATTTATATATGTATGCAAAATATTTTAAGGAAGCGTTTATGCGACGTAGCGAATTGTTATTGTAAATATTTAAATATGTTCTAGTTTTTGTGCACTTCATTCCTTTGTATTGTATTGTACATTGTACATGGGCCTGTGGCCTTTCTACTGAATACAATGTTATATATATTCCAACCCAACAGCCTCTCTGTCTGTGTGTGTGTGTGTGTGTGTGTGTGTGTGTGTGTGTGTGTGTGTGTGTGTGTGTGTGTGTGTGTGTGTGTGTGTGTGTGTGTGTGAGAATAATAAATACCTGTGCACAGAGGAGGCTGCAGCCCACTTATGCATGATTTACAATGACCATCCGGCTTATTGCATGACTTGTTTGAATTCGAGCAGCTTCCACATCTTTCCGAACAGTTGTCGTTCCACCACCCATCTTCGCACTCTGGGGAAATAAAACACCGTTAGAGAGAGTGAGTGAATATAGCTTTAGCATTATTCCACCAAGGTCGGGGAAACCCGAAATGAGCTTCACACATTGTAACCATGCGGAAAATAGAACCCGGGTCTTCGGTGTGATGACTGAACGCTTAAACCACTGGGCTACTACACGCCGTAAGGCGTATTGCACGCATGTGAGGTGAGGTGAAATTGGGTCATATGACGACGTGCATGCGTGTGTATGTGTATGTGCGGCTGCTTGTACTTGCCCAGACTGAAGCTGGTTTTATAGTGTTAGCCATCTGAGATACCATGCCGCAGTGAAGCATGAATATCCAACTCAAACACATTATACTGACTCCGAGCCGACCAGTCCTTGTTGTACCCATTAATGCCGAGCGACAGGCAGGGACCAACAAGTACCATATTTTAACGTCTTTTGGTATGACGCGGTCGGGGATCGACCCCGCGACCTTCCGCTCTCCGGGCGGGCGCTCTAACCACTACACCACGGAGGCGGTCTGCACGCATGTACTATAACTGGATATAACAAAGAACATAGTCCAAGTAATATACTGACCACCGTTTTTCACATCCGGCAGTGCCTAACTAAACCGGTTTTAGAACACTATTCTTCTCATAAATCTTTGTTAGAGCCGGAGTTTTAGATCAGGAATCTACAAAATAAGTTCACAACAGGGCATTGTGTAAATATAGAAGTTGTTTTCATGAATTTAGAATTAATTATTTCCGCCAGTCCAACAGAGCTTTGATTGATAACGAATCAATCTGTAAAAATTGTAATACAGGTGATATTGAAAGTGAATTCAATGAATAGTCGTGTGTACCAAGTATTCAGTTACGAAGTAAATAGCCCAGTCATAATTTATACCAGCATCCGTAAGAGATAAACAAATATTTCCAGTCTGTTAAATTCTAAGAATATTGATGTTATCAAATCTATTGCAATTAGTTAAAATATGTTTTCAATGCAAGAAATGTTACCATCGCCACGTACATTTAATTGTAGCAATTGTATGTGTACTATAGGCCTGTAGACCAGAAAGACTTTTTAAAAAGAGGAATCTGAATCTGTGCCTAACCAAACGATGGTACTATTGATTTCCTTCCTGGAACTTTGAATTAAACCAAGACCTGGTCATCTCCGAGCCAGTATAGCGTAGTGTACAGTGTCGGAGAGGGGACTCCATGTTAAACTTCCACGTGGTATCTATGTGAGTGAATGGTTTTACGCCGCTTATAGCACTATCTTAACAATATAACGGCGGATATCGGTGGTTAGGCTCGCTGACTTGGTTGACACATGTTATGGTATCCCAAATGCGTAGAGTAATGCTCATGCTTGTTGATCACTTGATTGTCTGGTGCAGACTCGATTATGTACAGACCGCCGCCATATAACTGGAATAATCCTGAGTGCAGCGTAAAACTAAATTCACTCACTCATTCATGGCAATGGTGTGTTATAACTGTTGTGACCGAAACAAAGGGGTGAAATGGATAGTTCAACTATCCGTTTAAATGACTATGAGGAGAGCTGAAGATTTGGGATTTAATTTTGTTTAGCTAACAGTCAAAATTGCTTGCGTCACCCGGAGACGTTGATTGTGCTTGTTATCCGTAGTATGCTGAATGAAATAGGCAGTAAGTCCGTTTTGTTTCAGCCGTGGTCGCATCTTACGGTCATGAACGTTGTGGACCGTCCCCCGCCGTGATATTGCTGGAATATTGCTAAATGCGTCGCAAAACCATATTCACTCACTCACTCATTTGAACGTAGTTCACCGTGATTGAAGCAGGCTGGAAGTAGAAGTAAACCGTAGTTTTATCGTAGTGCCATGTTACCACGGTGTGCTACGGTCACAACCCAACGATGCAGTAGAGCCAATTATGGTCTACTAGGGAGAACTATGGTCAACCACGTTCAAACTGATGGTCTTGTCATTCAAGCTAAACGTAGAGATATTTTGAATATGAGGCGCGTCGCAAGCCATTTTTTTCGTGTAAGCCCGATGGGGTGCAAAGATATATATTTAGATAGTATTGAGGGCTTGCCTAACCTTTTTAGCAACAATCATGTGTAAGCCCAGGCTTTTTTTCATAATAATAGGTACGCCCCTGAACATGTTGAAATGTTTTTGGTGTAACCACGGCCAAATCATTGGTTTGCTGAAGTTCAAAGTACGGTCATAACTATGGTGATCTACGTTGAAGTACGTTTGAATACGTCTAACTACGTTTAACTAAGGTCAAGTACGGTCTACTAGGTTCATCCCCCACTATGGTCAACTACGTGCGTGTCCGTACGATGTGACCGCTGCTTTAGAGCGAGCCTCGTCGGTATGGCTGCTTTGTGTTTGCGATGAAAGTCAATGTCCGCCTGAATTCGACATAGCTCCAGCTGTTTTTATAGATCCGATACTTTTGTGTATTCGTATCTAATACGCTGGAATGTCTATATTGCAGTGTATCCATATCGCTGATGACTGAAACTGCTCTTAGCGAGTCTGATGGGATCACTTCCGGTACTTCCGGTACTTCCGGTACTTCCGGTATAAGTTTGAGAGCATGAGGAAAACATAATGAGAAAACAAATCCGATAGGCGGATCCAGAGTTGCACCCTCTCTTTTGTCCTGAAATTTTATTAAATGACCATTGAAACTCGCGTGAAAATGAAGTGTGCACACCCCCTTTCTCAAAAAACTGTATCCGCCCCTGAATCCCACATATAAATGTACATATTAATATTATTAGAAAATACAGTTATCAGCTTATGATCGTCTCTGAGTTTGTTTGTTTGTTTGTTGTTTAACGGTGCACTGATTTTCCATCAACTGGGTCACGATGACATGTGAGTAACAAGTCGGCAAGCCTACCGACCCGACCCTGTAAGCCGCCTCTTATCACAAGTATGGGTTGGTGAAGATAAGTTCTAACCCGGATCTTCACAGGTTTCTATCTGAGTGGGGCCTACAGTAATACAATGACATTGTGTGCTGAAACAACACATTGCTTGTTGTAAAACCACGAGGCATTGTCTATGTAATGAACAAAAATGTGAAACTAGTAAAACGCAAATATACTCTGCAAAAAAAGAAACGCACAGGTGAAAACTCAGGAATGTAAACACTTTATTTTGTTTCCAAATAAAACTTTAACTAATGATCGCACGAACGTAAAATTTCACATGGATGTTGTCAAGAGTCAGCTTTACAACATGCAGCTATCATTTGTCTCTGAAACCATTGCACCGGGCGTACAGATGGCGTGGAGGTCAGTACCTGTTGTGACCACCTCGAGCTTGCAACACAGCTTGGCACCTCCTGTCCATGGACATGATCAGTCTTTGAATCCGTGCTTGGGGGATCCTCCTCCATTCCTCCTGCAAGGCTTTAGACAGTTGTTGCAACGTTTGGGGTTGAGGCTGACGACGTCGAACGCGTTTCCCAAGCTGGTCCCACAAATGCTCTATTGGGTTCAAATCGGGGGATTTTGAAGGCCAGGGAAGAACTGTGATGTTCTGATTCGTCAGGTAGTCCATCGTGATGCGAGCCACGTGCGGTCTGGCGTTGTCCTGTTGGAAAACGTGACGTTGAGGGTTGATGACAGGTAAAGATGACGTTGCAGAATTTCATCCCTGTAACGAATTGCAGTCAGGTTACCACGGACGTGCACCAAGTCACTTCTCCCGTTGTAAGAAATGGCCCCCCATACCATCACACTTCCCCCTCCAAATCTGTCCGCTTCAACTACACAATTACGGGCGTAACGTTCGTTTCTCCGTCTATAGACCCTCGTCCTACCATCGTGTCTTTGAAGTTGGAAACGAGATTCGTCGCTGAACCAAATTCGCTGCCAATGTCTCCAATTCCATCTCTGGACGTTCCTGCACCATCGAACACGTGCCAGGCGATGATGAGGTCGTAGTGTGCATCCTACGTGAGGTCGTCGAGGGCGTATCCCGTGCTGTCTGAGGCGATTTCTGATGGTCTGGGCGGAGACGCGGCGAAGACCTGGGACGTTTTCTGCTGTTTGTGTTGCTGGGACGGCCCGGTTACGTAAATGGAACACCCGGATGTAGCGGTCCTGTGCAGCATTGGTTACCCGTGGTCTACCACTCCGAGGTCGGTCGCGGGTCGAGCCCAGTTGATTGTAGCGCCTCCATAAACGGGAAATTGTTGTGTGATGCACGTTGAAGTGTCTTGCAACTGATGACTGAGATTCGCCAGCCTCAAGACGTCCGATGGCGATGTTCGGTCAGCTTCGCTAAGTCGTGGCATGTTGAATTCGTCAGTAAACTGGCGTTGAAAGTGAATTGAACACGTTAAACTGCCTTCCTCATATACCCTACACACTGGTGCATAGGTGAAGCAACTTTCACGTGCATATCGTTCGAAGTGTCATTTACACGTGAAAATTTCATGATATTTTCAAAAACCATCATCAAACAACAATATTTCATGAAATGGTGTGTTTGAGCGATACTTAATGGATATGAACAAGTATACATTATGTTTGGTTAAAGTAACCGGGTTTTGTTTGCATAGAAATAAAATAAAGTTAATTTTAAATTTCATTATCACCTGTGCGTTTCTTTTTTTGCAGAGTATATTATGGATGACAAATTCTTTATTGTATGTCACAACGTTTCTGGGTCTAGTCCTTGCCCCTTCGTCAGGTGAATTGTAACAAGCAAGATACATCTATGAGTATATATACTACATGTACAAGAAGCCAGTGTTGCATGTATATAAACTCTGTCAAAAAAGAAACGCAACCCCTGTCCTCAGATATGAAAAATTCGTTTGAATGAAGTTATTGCTTCCAAACTAAATGTTATTCGAATGTATTGAAATTATACACGTAATTAATGAAGATTACCATCCAAACAACTGCATTTGTACGCATAAGTGTATTTTATTGCTTATTCCGTCACAACGCATGAAATGACCCTCATGGTGACTTCGCACAAAAAAAACACA